TAAAACACTTTCCACTTTGAAAAGAATGACTAATGACTTGCTTACTTGCAATGTTTATTCCCTGAAGAAATGAGTCATCATGGCAAAAACTAAAACCGGCCCTCCCTTGAATCTGTGGGTTTGCCCTCCTTGAGCTGCATGTCACAGGCTCCTCGACTAGCTGAGGGCACTAAGTTACAACTCACTACCAAAATTTACCCAGAAAGGTAACACACACACACACACACACGAAGTGGCTAGTCCTCCAAATGGGTAATTAGTCCCAAATTATAACTTTTTTCCCAAGTACTAGACTCTAAAATTAGTAAGTCCAAACATGGGTTTATAGGAGCTTATAACTCTCTACACACTAAAAACATGATAAATTCCATTCAAAGTTACCAATGGCTCTTACAATGTTGACTAAAGCACAATTTGCAAGAAACTGTATTTGATCACTAAATCAGTTCAGTGTTTCTTTGTTATCCAATTTTAGGAAGTAATACTTTGGGGTCATATACAGGAAATACTAAAATAAAAACAATAGTAACTAATTTAAGTCATCATTGAGAGAAACTTGGGAGGGGGAGTGAAGAAGAGACAAACAAACTGAGAAATTATGATTTTCCTGGAATGAATGCTGTATTATTTTTAGTTTCACAAAGTAAAAAGTCCCACTAAGTACTTCATGCAAATAAATATGTTCCTTTTCAGAGTCTTTTGTGTAAATGTATTAAAATATCTCATAATTCAACTCTGTAAAAATTAACTTATTGGATGCTCAAACTAGGTTTCCTTTTTTCAAATTATATTCCACCTAGATGTTAGAATTTCCATGATGTCGGTGAGAAAGCTGTACTTGGCCAGGGAACACAGTTTTGAAGTATACTGGGGCTGCAAAGTGTAAGGAAAAATATCACAGACTACTTAACAAAATATTTTAACTGCCATGAGAAAAACTACAGTGTAGTACAGACACATTACATTTATTTTTTTAACCCTTTATTATCTGTCATTGAGATTCACATGTGGAAGGAATTTACATACCACGATTTGCTTCTGTGCTTCTAAAATGTTCTTGATGAAGAATTTCATTTCACAAAAATTTATCTTAGTAATATAATAATTGATTGTATAAATAATAAGAAAAAATTTTTCATGGTTCAAAATTCACCATGTATGTAGCCTTTCTTGACTCTCACTAGTGATATTTCATCCAATGTTGAAGTCTAGGTTATTTTTGTAGTGATGGAGTTTAAGGAACGTATTTATTCCACTTTATATTATAGTGACTTGTAGTGTTCTAGTTATTCCATGAATAGATTGAAGATTTCTGCTTCTATAAGTGGCAGTCCCAGGGCCTTTCACATCTCTACATCCTCTCCACCCCGTGTCCAGCAATTTCCCGAAAATAGTAGGCAATCTACATGTTTATCTGCATGCTCCAAAAAGCCACCTTCAAAGTGTCCTTAGAAAAAATGACCTGTATTTAGACAACTAAGAGTGTTACTTTTAAGCCTTACAGAATCCATACTAATTTACCATAATATTTCAATATTTCTTGGATAGCCATTAAAAATTAAAATAATGAGAATCTTGCTAGGTACAAGAATTGCTTCATAATCAGATGTATATCTTTTTAAAAACTAACTGAAATCATTACACGTTTCCTCACTGATGTTGTAAGAGTGCCTAAAATAATGTAAATCAACAGATTTTCTTAAATGAGTAACCCCTAAGAAATATAACTGTGTGTTTAAAATATAAGGTGGAAAACAATTTAATGAAGAGGTCTACTCATAAAACAGCATTTGCAGAGGACCCCTTATTTATTCACTTATCCATCTAGAGATCATTGACGAGAGACCTGTGTCACACATGCGTGACAATCCGCTAGTGGCTGAGGCTATATAGCGAATTGAGGTGCGCTCTCCAGCTTCCAGACGATACACGAGGTAACAGGACTGTGTGGTTCCCTCTGGCTGAGGGAGCAGGACAAATAGTTCACAAAGGGCTTTGGGTTTAAGCTCTATTCTGCAGATCTCAAGACATTATTCTGCCTGAAGTAACAAAACTTGCTATTCTTTTTTAGAAAGAAATTTGGGAAAGAAACTGCTTGTCTAGTAACAGCCTGGTGAACACATGAGGACCTGGCTGGAGTATGAGGATCCAGATTTGGAAGATATTTGAGAGGCAGCATCAATAGAACTTGATGACAGACTTGAATTTTAGGCCTTGAATTTGACAGACAGATGATGACATTACATGAAATCTAGATGATCAGTTAACATTCTATTGAGCACCTTCTATGTACCAGACACTGTTCGAGGCACACAAGGTCTGTTTTCATTCCAGTCAGGGGAGGCAGACAGTGAAAAGATGAATAATCTGAGACAGTGCTAAACAGGATGGAGAAAATAAGATTATGTGATAGTGACTGGGGGGAGGGGCACTTTAGCTGAGATAGTCATGGAAAGTGACACTTGAACTAAGACCTGGAAATAAGGAGGCAGCCAAGTGAAGCTGTGGTCAGAAAGCGGAGCAAACGCAGAGGCTGAGGTAGGGAAGAGCCAAACGTGACCAAGGGACAGAAAGGTAGCTGTGGGTGGGGGTTTAAGGGTGTGAGAAAAAGGAGACTCAGCACACAGGGAGCTCCCTGTAGCCCACTGTCAGGGCGTAGACAGCAGGAATGATGTGATCTGACGACAGTGCCAATGTTGAGAAAGGGTCAGGATCTGGGCTTTCGAGGGATAGGTGACAGGGCTTCCTGGTGGACTGGATGTGGACGGTGAGGGAAAGAACCTCGGGTTTTGATCTCAACCCTTCTAGAGAAGATGGTGGTATTCAACAGAGACAGTGTAGCAGACAGAAGCCCAGGGTGGCAGGGCCAGGAATCAACAGTTCTCCCCTCAAGTGAAGGCTGCACCGTCTAGGCTCTAGAGACTTGCAAGTGCAATGGCATGTAGGCAGGGGGTCACAGTGTAGAGCTGGGATAGGTCTAGGTGGACACACACTTTGGGACTCATCAGCCTCTACATCGAATCTTCAACTATGAGACTGGATAAGACTCATCTTGACTGATCGAGACTGTGGGGTGGGAGGGAGGTGAGGAACCTGCAACCATGTTTTTGTTTTGGGGTCTTTAAAGGAGAGGAATCATAAATTCCATTTCAGATACTTAAGGTCCAGGTAAAACTTTTCTGTGGCAAATCATACATAGCCTCTAAAAGTATTTTCTTGCTGATGGCTGCCCTGCCCTGGGGCAGGGGCCTTCCTATGAATGTAAGACTGATATCACCAGCCAAAGGGAGATGCCCCAACTGCTAGCCACTGCCTTGTCTGAAAAAGGGGCAGGCCCTCTAATTTTTTTTTTAAAATAAAGTAGACACCACTGAACAAGAAGGGTATTATATGTTTTTATTTTAGGGAAAAAAATGAAAGTATTTTATGATTATGCTCTTATACTGTGATTTAACCCTGTGGTCTCATTTGCAATCTCCCTGTTTCTTTTTTGCTACATAAGCAAGCACTCTGATAGCAAACACTGCCTTTTGAACGTCCAGCTGCTACTCAAACAGAAGGCTCTTCTGAAGTCCGTTACAGCATGAGTATATAAATCCACTCTTTAAGACTAGAAAACAGCACAATAATGAGCTAGTTTGAAGTACTGGGTGGATCATAATCTCAAAAGCTTCTTTCCTTAAGAATTATTAATCTTGGAATTCTTTCCATCAATGAATCAACTTTGGAAGACAACTGAGTACCACAGACATTTCTAGTAAATCTCGTAACTAAGCATTAAACTCAATAATCATGGACAATTTCTAAACCATTCTGGTGGTTCTTTCCCAAACTTCAAACACATCGACCTTTGTTTCCCATCAAAGATGCTACTTATAGTCAGCACTCACTAAATGGGTATCCATCCCTTCCACCCTAAGAATAAATGGAAGAGATAAAGTTACTTCAATGTACAGACTGAACATATTTCTTTGTCTTTGTATCCATTTTTTTTTCACCACTGTATACTCATTTCCTTACATATCACCTTAAATACAGTCAATGCTTAATGAATGAAAAACGAATGCACCGTTTTATGGGAAAGATGACCCTTTTCTTCCTACACACCAATTTCCTTCCTACGTCACTTCTTTATGTAAGTATTTTTCTTGATTATAAAAATATTCATTCATTATAGAAAATCTGAATATAAAAAATAAAAATCTCTCTTCTTAAAATACATATTACTGGCTACTTACAATTCATGACTGTATTCATTCATTTAACAAATCATTTTGACTGCCTACTCTGTGCTAGGCTTTGGGTATATGGAGAAGAACCAAACAGGCCAGGTCCCTGACCCCACTCCAGCTATATACAGCAATACCCTCATGTGCCACCGTAGAAAATAAGTAGAGGTGTGCCACCGTGTAGGACATTTCAAAATTCATGGGTATCCATTTCTTCCACCCTAAGAATTAACTTCCCCCCTAAGTCTTAAAAATTATTTCAGTGATGAAATAACATTAGTACGTTTCTACATAGTATACAAAAGCATCCTAATGACATTGTGAAGTACCCTCAAGGAGCATATAGTTTTTTTTCATGTGGAAAAGAACAAATACCCCAGTCTTTCTACTGAACAATCTCAAGGACTGCATTTTGATGCTGGAAATGGTAATGTAATATAGTTCTAAATACATTCTTTCCAGGCCTTCCCTTACAGGTTCATACATTATCTATTTATTCAAATGTATTAGAAAATAACCACTCAACTGAAAATAGTTCAAATGTTTTAATCCGAGTGCTCTATTTCTCCTTCCAGCACAAGGAAAAGCGTTGCCCTTGGGAAGTCATGCTGAGCTGTCATCCCCTGACTCTGAGCAAATCACCTGTTTCTTGGTATCTAGACACTGGTCTGCATAGCAAGAGTAGAAGCTATTGTTCGTCCTCAGAGAAGTATATAATCATGGAGACCTGTTCAGTTTCACCCCAAAGGACTCACAGGGAGCCTCACTTACCAGCTGACCGCCTTCTACTTCTGAAGCTTTACCTCTTGCTGTCCCTCTTTGCTCATTTGTTGTATCTCCTAAGAAGCAAAACAAACCAAAAACAGAAAACGTTACCATCCCACTGAGGCCAAGTTGTCTTTTATTTCTTTGAAATATCGTTTGATACTTCATGTTTTACATTATGGAATCTACTACTATTTCCTTTTTTACAAAGTAAATAAGTGAATTTTTAAGAATAGTATTTTTATTGAGGTCTCAGATCTCTCTCTTTCTCTCTCTCTCTCTCTCTCTCACACACACACACACACACACACACACACACACACACACAACCTAAGCCAGAAATATATTGTTTTATAAAGGTTTACACTAGAAAAATGAAGTGAATTCACATTTTTTTTTTTTTTTTGTAAATCAAGTCCTATTTCACATAAACTAAGATAGCTTACAATTTAAAGATAAGGCAAATTATTTTCAAATTAGAAGTATTTATGAGTAACTGTCCCCCAAAATAGTTTTTTTATAAGTTTTTTCTTTATAAGGTTTTGTATATCTGTGGATTTGCCTCAAAGTATATATATGTTTGTATGTAATAATTAACCAAATGCTGAACAATCTTTATAGCAGGAAAGAATAAAGAACAAATTCATAAACTGGCTGGTGCCTGGGTGAGTTATGCTACCAAATGAAGTTGGTGACTAGGCTGGCTCCAATGACACAGGACAAACATAGGTAAGAATATGCATAATCTAGTTTATCAGTGGCTTATTTTTATTTATTAATTATCACTAATAATCTGTGATTAACACAGGATAAGTAAAGCATAATGAGAGGTTAACTTAATAATTTGTAAACTGTTCTTGCCATAAAATTAAGCCAGCTCAGGAATGTCCACAACAGGTTAGATTGCAAAATTCACAGACGATGACTTGGCTGACACTAGAGGTTAGGAATTTGTTAATAGAAGGAAGGTCACAAGTCTTGATTGGAGATAAAGTATGAAGGTAAGAAAGGCTGAGGTGCTGAGGTTAACTTTTCCATATGAAATACAGAAGTTTAGTTTACCAAGGGCTAGAATCAAGGAAGAAAGAACCTTGTGAAAATTTTAAAGGATTAAATAAAATTCTGTTAAATTCTAAAATCATGAAGCAAGAATTAAGTTGGTAGTTTATTTACTTAAGACAGTTATTTTACTTAGGATAAAGGAACTCCCCAAAATGTCTGAAATTGAAGCACATTAATACATATTCCAGTCTATAAGTTTTGTTCTCAGCTATGTGTAACATTAAAATAGCTGGGCAGAACCCAGCACATATAGGTGTTTAATAAATACTACCTGAATTAGTTAGTGAATTTCTCTCTATAGTTTCCAGTCTATAAAGCTGTGACAAAGTAATACTGAATGGTATGTAATAAAAACTGTATTTGAGCATACAGTTAGTCTCTTTCTTCTAAAACATATTTGTGAAACTTAAAAGGCAAATTGATGAAATACTCTAATGTAATGTTACTAGTGACCCATAATTGTGGCATAACTTATTAGATTTTGAAAAGAGTTAATGATTAAAAAAATCATATTGAAACAAAAGCATTAGGAACTTTTGGGTTCCATCTATAAGATAATAAAGTAAATTTTAAGTGAAAAATCAACCTACTTTTGTGACCCAGGATATCACCCAGGGGCCAGGAACCTTTAGTCTGCCAAGGGCCATTTGGATATTTATAACATCATTCTTGGGCCATACAAAATTATCAACTTAAAAATTAGCCTACTAAACACCTGCCAGAATGACTCCAATCAACACATCATTAAACAACAAATTGGCAAGGGTGTGGAGAAAAGGGGACTCTAGTACACTGCTGGTGGGAATGCAGACTGGTGCAACCACTATGGAAAACACTATGGTATTTCCTAAAAAAATGAAAAATCGAACGCCATTTGACCCGGTGATCTCACTTCTGGGAATATACCCTAAGAAGCGTGAAACATCAGAAAGAATGTAAATGCCCCTATGCGCATGGCAGCACTATTTACAATAGCTAAGATCTGGAAACAGCCAAAGTGTCCATCAACCGATGAGTTGATAAAACAGCTGTGGTACATATACACAATGGAGTACTATGCAGCTGTAAGAAAGAAAGATCTCTTATCCTTTGAGACGACATGGAGGGAACTGGAGAGTATTTTGCTAAGTGAAATAAGCCAGCCAGAGAAAGACAAGTACCACATGATCTCACTTATTTGTGGAATACAATGAATAAAATAAGGTGATGAACAAAATAGATCCAGAGACACAGAAGTAGGGTTCAGACTGACAAACTTCAGAGGAGGGGGCATGGGTATGTAGGGAGGAGATAAACCAAAGAACTTATGCATATAAGCATAACCAATGGACAGTGACAACAATGCGGGGGCGGGGGGCAGGAACGGGAGGAGGATGTCAATGGGGGGAAAAGGAGAAACATCTGAAACAAAAATAGATTAATTAAATAAAAAAAATTAGTCTACTATGTTTGGTCAGGCTAATTTGGTGAGGCATGTGATGTTAGCTTGGTATTGATTCTGAGGACCTCTTACCGCCCTAGGGCGGATGTTCCCTACCCCTGGAAGCATTGATTTGCATATCAAGAAGAATCTTATTTTCAGAAATCCACTTCTCTCTGAAGTTAGGGATAAGATAATCACAGGTGGCAAAACCAATGAACAAGGAGTTTAGTTTGCTTGGTTATAGGTGGTGAACACGGCAGCATGAGCAGCCAAGATAATGCATGGCATGTCTCTGCGATACATGGTGTATTTGATAACTCCCACGCATGATGCTTACAGAAAATAGCTATCACCTGCTGGGCCAGCGTGGCTCAGTGGACTGAGTGTCCTCCTCTAGACTGAGAGGTCCCTGTTTGACTTCCGGTCAGGGCACAGGCCCAGGTTTCGGGCTTGATCCCCTGTGGGGGGGCGTGCAGGAGACAGCCGATTGATGTTTCTCTCACATCAATGTTTCTCTCTTTCCTTTCCTCTCTCTCTAAAAAACAATCAATAAAAACATATTTAAAAAATATCACCTGAAGTGAAAGATTTATTGCTTTTTAGGTTAAAAAAACTCAAGAAAGATTTTTTACCTTTTAAAATGATATTACTCCATCCCATAGCTACACAAACACTGTATTCGGTTAAAAGCATTTGGCTAAAGGCGTTCATTTGCCTCCTTCACCGTTTTCTGATTTCAAGATGTACATCTGACCAAGACCTTGCCTGTTTCTCCCTACTGCCTGAACAACCAGAAAGATTCTCAGCCAGGCTTGCTGACATCACACGTCTGCCTGGAAGCGATTACAGGATCACCATTTACGGAAATGCCATGCCTGGCGATGACTCAGATAGGACAATAACTGATTACAAGGGAAAATGCCACCGGCAAGATTTTTCTCTATAAACAAAGACACAAAATGAAAACTACACAAACAACAGAAAAAAAAAGTCACAAAGAAATAGAATTTTTAAAGTTTTTTCCCTTCCCACTAACAAATTATTCTGTCATGGTAAAAATTTAGGTATTTTACACATTTTTTTATAACCCACATGAAAGCGAGGTACTTTTTTTTAACAATAAACAAAGATGCATGTGACAAATGTGAAATAAGGTATTTTGGTTTTCAAACATCAGAGAACTCGTTTATTTGCTGGATAGATTCAGAAATTTCATCTGCAAATTAGCTGTTTAAAAAGAAGAAAAACAACCAACATTTTCACAGTACTGTACATTTCATACAGCCTTTTTCACACCCTCACTACGGTGCAGTAAAACGTCCTCCCCACCCAAGCCCCAGTTTACAGGTGAGTGAACCCTAAGGGCCAGAGCACCCAGTGACACGCCCAGGGTCTCCCAGGGAGAAGGCAGTCTCAGCAGGAGCAGACGCGAGTCTCCGGACATCTCTGGGGATTCTGTGGCAGGTTCCAGGCATGGAGGCTGAGGTGGGAGGAATCAAGTCTCTGAGTCAGGGAACAAGGTGTGAAGAGAAGAGCCCAGGCTCCTGCTCACTGAAGACAGGATCTTGTCCTGGTCCCACCCCTGAGCCCCTAGACACTTTTCTCTATTCCTTTTTTCTGCCATAGGCCCCATGGACTCTCTGTTCTCGTCCCTTTCCACTGCTGATGACAAATACTTCTGACCAGGGCAAGCCGCTGTCCTCTTTCCCGTCCTTCAAAGCAAACACACAGTCCCCTGGATACTTTCCTAGAAGTTTGTAAGGAGAGAAGCAATTTCATAAGAGGCAAAATCCCTCTTATACTACAATGTGCCATTTTCTTGGTTTAAAATAGTTTTTATTTAGAGTGAATAAATGATAAAGGCTACATATACATACTCATGCAGCTCTTTAAGGCCTTCAAAAACCAAAGTGAAATTCATCTATATTTTAGATTAGGGGTTGGCAACGTTTTTGGCAAAGGGCTAGATAGTCAACATTTTAGGTTCTGTGGACCTAAAATGCAACTTCTTGGTTGCAACTTCCTGACTGCCATTGTAGTTGAGAGAAGCCACAAACAATACAGAAACCAATGAGTGAGGCTGTGTCCCAATAAAATTAAATTTACAAAGACCATCATCAGGCTGTAATTTCCTGATTTGTTTTAAAGAATATATGTACTCCACCTTTTAGGATAAAAGGCTGAATCATGTTTGACTTATACAAGGAGACGAGAAAGGGACAGTCATTAGGCTGTCATCATGATCCCCTTCTACTGGGTGAGCTGAGTTGAGGGAGAGGAGAAACGGTGGTGAAGAGTGAGCACTAGGAATACGTGAAGATGGAAAGGAGAGGAACCCCAGTGATGAGAAGGGAACCCAAATGCCTATTTGGATCACATAGAGGAGACTTGTTTGGGTAGGGGGCTTGGTAGTGGGCGTGGGAAGGAGTGCCCGCACTCAGGAGAAGCTCTAGTAACTTTCACCCTAGGCCTCTCTCTCATCCAGTCCATGGGTTGGTGATTTGGGAGGACTTGGCTGCCATGGTTCTGCCCCTTCCTTTTCCCCTTCTCTTTAGAATGGGAGGACCAAAGACAACACATGGCTCCCTC